AACACCCTCCACAATAAAAATGATTAATCAACCTCTCATAATTACAAAAAAATGAACAAAATGAAAAATTATGATTGGTTAAATACGGTTTGCACGGTTTGTACAAATTAAGTGGTTCACATTTGATCGCTCCCCTATATATATATATATATATATATATATATATAGGATAGAAACATTTCCGACGGAATTTAATTTATTTTTATTGAAAAATATATTCCGCCGGAAATCCATCGGTAATTTTAAAAGAAAAAAAAGTTTTATTTTATTTTTTTCCTACCAAATATATATATATATATATATATATATAGATATAAAGGTTATAAATATTTCCGACGGAATTTAATTTTTTTATTAAAAATTATATTTCGTCGAAAATCCGTCGATAATTTTAATAGGAGGAAAAATGTTTTATTTTATTTTTTTCCTACCAAATATAATATATATATATATATATATATATATATATATAAAGGTTAGAAACATTTCCGATGAAATTTAATTTTTTTACTAAAATTATATTTCGTCGGAAATCCGTCGGTAATTTTAAAAGGAAAAATGTTTTATTTTTATTTCTTTTCTGCAAAAAAAATATATGTTAAAAAAGGTTAAAAATTTCCAACGGATTTCTGACGGAATTTAATTTTTAATTAAAAAATGGAAATCTGTCGAAAATTTTATTGATTAATGCTAATTAGTTTATTTAAATAAATTAGACAAATTTTGTGATGGATTTCCAACGGATTTGTGACGGTTTTGAAAAAGTAAAAAATCCGTTACAAATCCGTCAGAAATCCGTTGAAAAACCGTTTTTAATAATTTTAATTTTTTTTCAAAAAATAGTGGTGGATTTGTGGCGGACATGGATAAAAGTTGACTTTTTTGGAATCCATCGGAAATCCGCCAGGAATATTTCCGACGGAAATTCTGCCAGAAAATTTTGTTGGTGATACCCTTTTTTTTAAGTAGTGCATGCATATGTAGTAGCAAATTTTTTGTTTACTCAATTGCATACCAATTCTATTTGATTTTTGTTTTCTGGTTTCGATTTTCGATTTCTGTTTTCTGATTTTTAGGCCAGCAACAAGTGTTCGTTACATCAATCTTTAAATTCATCTCTAAAGCAGGTTAGTCATCAAACCATGATTGCTTTACCCCTTGATGCTAAAGGGTTGTGCTCATAAATGGTATTCTTAATGTTTGCAGATTATATTTGTAGTTGGTAGCCTTTGTATTTAGTTGGAATTACTTAAACATCGTTTCGCTTGAATGGTCGTAGTTTTATATAATAGAACAAGCATTTTTAATTGGAAGTGTAAAGATGCAGACAGGACTTGTGTATTTGTTAACTTGCTTATGGATGTCTGAAGATAGAACCCGAAACAGAGAAAAATAGGCTAAAACAATTTGAAGTGTTCACTGACCTTTTTCCTAGAACTTACAGGAAAAATGATGCTTAATTTTACTAGAACTCGTTATAGTCTGTGTAACGCTTTAAACAAGAATTTGTTTTCAAAGTGTTTGATCGGAGTGTTATGTGTATTATCTAGAAATCCGATGGTTGAAACCAACAATAATGAAATGAGAAGATTAATTCAAATTTCACAAGACTATATATCTATAGGTGTGAAGAAGAGATATTTTACATGATCATCTACACCTGAGAAATAAGTATCTTGGTCATGTTGATAAACAACTTGAGAAGCTCTTGACATGTTGAGGGCAACTCTGATGATGGAAAGGGGAAGTGCATTGGGTGCAACCAGCGCTCCATTCAGCTCTTTCCATGATGTGTGTATAAGCTGCAAGATTTGTTTCCTTCCATCTTCCTCACTTGTTATATTTTTCTCCCTCATCACCAATTGTATACTGGATGTTGCATCCCCTCTTTCTTGTTCTTCCTATATATATATATACATATATTATATGCATATGTATGGCCACATAAAGAAAATTAAGAACGTAAGAACTTATTAAGACATCCAAAAAATGTCTTATAAACGTATTGTACGGATTTTACATATGACATACACTTGTTTGGTCTATAAACTTAAGTGCTTTAACACAAACTATTAGGATCTTTAAACATTTTTCGGGTGTTATAAACCCTATTTTATTGTAATGTTTAATTTTGAACGTCATGTACGAACCTTTGAAGTTCCCAGATCATCCCAAAGACGAAGAATTGTTCCAGCAACGGAAAAGAAGCTAGGGTATGAATCAAGAAGACTTCTCATATTTGCAGCAGTAACCCCTTCGCCCATTAGAAAGAATAGATGAACCAGTGCCATGTATGTTCCTGCTGTGGTGACCCCATTCTCTATGTAGTCTTTGAGATTAGGTGCAGTTCGTCCTTTTTTCCATTCAACTTCCACCATGAAGGCTTCCACCATGTTAATCCACTAGTATAAGATGGCCAAACAATCAATAACTAATCAGTGGTTTTCTCCAAGATATAATGATATCTTACAGTGTCGAAAATTTTACATACCGTCTTGCGTAGGAATGGCAGTACACTCAACCCGTGTTCTTTGAGGACTTCGTAGCAAATCTCATTGGTAGTATTATACAAGGCCATGTAGCATATCTTCATGTATTCAGGTAGTTGTTCCATTTCTTTCAAATCCCATCTACGATACAACGAAGCTCACTTAGAAATTATTTCAGCAATATTTAAATGTGAGAATAAGGAGAAGTTGTACCTTTGAATTGCTTTTGTAAACAGAACAAGATCATCATATGAACCATAGGTGTCAAATATATCATCAATGACCAACAAAATTGAAATGGTTTTCGCTAGTTCAATTCTGTTAGCAGAATATTTGCTCTCGGGTAAGAGGCCGACACTCCATAGAAAACACTCAAGAGGGCGATCTCGGGCAAAAGTTAGCTTAGTCACTAGACCCAAATGTCTCCACCACCTGAAGTTAAAATCAGATATTACATAAATTATATGAAGTTAGAACATATATAGATGAAAACAGATATTAATTTCACCTGGTTATCTCAGCCAGCTCCATTTGGTGCAGTGATTGAACTTGATTGTATTCCAACTTTGCAAGTTCTAACAGAATTGGGATGTGATCACTTTCATTTTCGTATTCTTCAATATACCTTCTTGATTCTAATCTATCCATTCTAAGGTGCCTTGGTAGCTCTAAACTATGAAGAACTCTTTTACGTAGTTTCGGGGTTAATTGTGAAACTGATTTCTTGAGGTGTATGGTGGTAAATTCCTTGGCCTGTGATAGAACATCTTCCCCATTTGCACCCAAGTATGAAGCTTCATATAAACTCAGCAACGCCTCTGTATCATTAATTGATGACTCTTTGAATTTACCATTTGCATCCAGGAATGGTCCAAAAACATCTATAACATTTCAGAGCCCAAAACTTATTTTAGCATATAATCAATGGTCCCTTAAAGTTATGATCTACATCATGATTTGTCTATCATTTTTATCTTCATTATCAATTGAAGTTTCTCAAATCATGCTAACTGATGAACTTGCACAAAGTGTAAATCTTCTGATAAATTTAAATAATGTTTGAGACATATATGATAGTACCAGAATTAGTATGGAGGCCATTGGTTCGTTGAAGGCGGAAACGTAGTGCCACTGTATATAAATCATCATCAAGCTGACCTTCAACAGGATCTATCAGTTTATGGATGAATTCTTCATCAAAACTGTACCCTATTCCGAGTCTTTGGATCGTATCAAATAGCTTCATCGTCATTCTGGGGTTCGAAGCTGTCATCAAAGCTCTTGTTGTCTTTTCATGTAGTTCGTCCATTCTGCTGCCAACATCAACTTCTGAAGAAATTGCCTGTAAATATCCAAAAAGCAATCACAGTGAATACAACTTCTTCCACATCTTAATAAAGAAAACCATACATCTAAAAGACATAACATAATTACCTTGGGCTTGCAATGTGTTAATGGCATTGCAATGGTGGCAAGTGGCAAAACAGGCAAAGATATCTTGAACCTGCAAACCCTAGAGGTTTTGCAAGGTGATGAACTCACTAACCGCCATGGATGTTGAGGATTGCTTGAGAAGGCACCACTAGTTTTAGATAATGAATTGATATAAAATGGTGAAGACATGTTTTTTTCTTTTGGTTTTTGGTTGATAGAAAATCTAATTGTTGTTTTATTTGATGAAATATGAGATATAAATAGATGGGATTGTAACATGTAACATTAAAGACTATACGACAAATTAATTAAATGAATCGATGTCGGCAATATGTTTGACCAACTAAATTCAACAATTCTTGAAAGCCTCCATAACATCGGGTCAAGGATGTCATGTACTTGATGAGTTTGAAGAATGTAAGGAGAAGCTTAATTCCATCAGAGGTGGTATAACAAGTTGAGAACTAAAAAAACTATCTGTTTCAACCACAAGGGTGGTGTTTGATTGGTTTAAACTTGGTCTTCAAAGATCAAAAGTATCTGAAGGTCCCGAGTTCGAATCCAAGTAGGAATAAAAAGAATTTCCTTGTGGCCACGGAGGTTCAAATGTGATGACTTCTGACTACCCGCAAAGCGGATGATCGTTCTAGGATTAGTCGGCTCGTGTAACGTGTTGGATATCCAGTATAATATAAAAAAACCAGTTTCACATGTGACACATTATTAAATTTGTTAGAAATTAATATTTGTAAAATCAAAAAAGTTTCTTGACGATAATTTAAAAATCAGATAGATCAAATCGGATTGTTGAGTCGTAAACAAGGTCGTTTTCTATAAGAAGAATTTCAGTGCTCTGCTAATTATGTTGCAGTTTAGTAACGGGGTCCCTACCAGGATAAAATAACTCAATTCAATTGAATTACACAATTCAATTGTATCTTTCTTTTTTATATTTTTGATTTATCATGACAAAAAAACATAATTGCTCCAAAATATAAGCCTAAAAATAGGTTTTTCAAAAGTCAAACGTTTTTAAACTCAAATTAAAAACGTTTTAATCGACTTGATCATAATTTAAATATTTAATTTTTTTTAAATTTAAATTGTCAAAACAAAGGTTATTCGATCATAGACATTATCCGACCCCCTGGTAACATCGATCTTATCAACATCCAATTAAGGTTCGTTAGTTGACGTCAAATTGTTAATTTTACTTGTTGTAAATTTAAGGTTACGAACCAAAGGGTCTTTAATTTAGCGGTATGTGAGTCATTGGCCTTCTAGGAGGTCAACGGTTCAAACATCACAAAAGGTGAGAAGTGTGTGTGAGTTTATTTGTCGTATATAATATTATATACTTCAAAATTGTTTTAAGGTTAGGATTTATTAGTTGATGTGTGATTGTTAATTTGAATGACCTTCCTTAAATCTTTTCGAAAAAACTTCTTATGAAGAATCAACCTAATCAAAGAAATAAATATGATAAAAACCATTTAAGTAGAAGACAATGTCAACCATCTGGATACAAAACCGTTACGTAAATTCCGACTCATATTATAAAATTTTATGGATCCGCCAGTGATTAACCAAACAATCCGATTTAAGTATGGAAATTGACGAACCATGGACGGGGGCACGTATAAGCGGTGAAGCATGTGATTTAATTCAATGTAAAACGACGATTTGTTGTAAATTTTAATACTTAAATACCTTTTCTTTTTATCCAATTGCTATCCGAATTGAGAATTAATATTTTAAATGCATCATGTGAAGATTTGATTTTAAAACAAAATGTAAATGTCTTTTTTCATTGTCATCACCGGATGGCATCCCTCCGAAACCACCATCAACACGATTTAAAATTATATCCTCTATTTAAAATATAATAAATTTCAAAAAAAAAAAAAAAAAAAAACAGACTGGATTGTTTTACATGTAGGGTGTGTAACAAGTAAGACTTGAGATTTAGATAGATCATATCTTTTAATTTTTTAGAAGCTTCTATACTTTTCACTATCAAACTGGTCATCTTTTCAGGTCGTCATATCCGTCGGAAATCTGCCAAAAAATAATGTTTCCAGCGGATATGGGCGGGGGGAAATGAGGCGCCGATGATTTTTTTCCTGGCGGAAATGTTGGCCAGTAATATAATCTGTTGGAAATTTGATTTTATTTTTAAAATTATTATTTTTATTCTTTAAATATTTCCGGCAGATTTATCTGCGAAAAATCACCCAACTGTAGAAAATAATTTTCCTGTAAATATTTAAAACTAGTAAATCCTGTAAATACTTAAAAAAAAGCTAACAATATGAAATGCTGCTAAATATCATACATTAAACTAAAAAACAAGAAATGTCAAATACAATTATCCCAACCAAAGTAGCATACAATTGTTTCAAACAAAAACTAATTTTTTCCAAAGCAAACAGAGATTCATTACTGTAGCGGCATAAACTGCTGAGATTGACTGAGCAACTTGACCAACGCAGTCATCTCTTCAATTTGTTTATCTCGTCTCTCATCCAACCACCGCTGACGCTCCTCCTCCCCCACCCCCGGTCGTTCCTCCTCCGCCTATCGAAGCTCTTCCTTCGTCCATCGACGTTCGTTTTCTTCCTATAAATCTCGAACCTGGGTCCTTAAGGCGTCAATTTCCTATAAAATAAAGAAAACGTTATAATATTTAATATGAATTATAAACTAAACCGATAAATATCATCAAAGGAAAAGAGACACACACTCGGCTATCTGAATAGGATGGACCACCCTTTGTGGAATTCTCAGTCAAGACCCAATTAGGATCCTGGTTGTACGAAAACCCAAATAGACGACCTCTCTTACATCCCCAACCGCCTACTCCCACAACTCTGTATCAACTAAGGGATAGGTGGAGGGATCATCTTTATATCTTTGGGTGAGACTCATTGAATAGTTATCCTATGGTTAAAAAAATTACAAGTCAATTTCGATAGCATGACGGTTGTAAATGAGACATTTTCAGCCAAAACAATCCTAACGTTTACCCAACAAATGACAACTCAAACTAAATAGTGATACATACGAAATTTCTAGCCAAAACTATCCTAACATTTGTCCAACAAAATGCAACACAAACTAAATAGTAATACATACGAAATTTCTAACAAAAACAATCATAATATTTGCCCAACAAATGGCAACCCAAACTAAATAGTGATATATGCGAAATTTCTAACTTAAATAATCCTAATGTTGGCCCAACAAATGACAACCTAAACTATATATATATACATGCACACACACACTTAGATTTTAATTTAAACGAATCGGACGTTGCCCCACAATAAATGACAGCCCAAACTAGATAGATAGTTATGTACCCAATTATAAACATTAAAATAGATAGATACTTACCATAATGTGGCTACACTTATAGTTCGCATACCCAACATATGACTCTCTACTTTTAGTCTCCATATTGAAGATGTCTATGAACAGAAAAACTTCTTCACAATTCAGTAAAAATGCATGTATGAGCTTTGTACATATCTTCATCCAATAGATTAACATGTGTTCTGCCTTTATCAAATAATCCTAGACATATAGTTTTAAATATCTTTAACCATTCCGAAGATTAAAAACCAGGGGCAAAATTTCGAGGCTCACGGTTCATCCGTGTTTCTACCGCTGTTCCAAAATACAACGAGTAGTAGGTAGACAATTCATTAACCAAATATGATTCTACAATTTACCTTTCTACCCTTGCTCTGTTTCTCACCGTCATATTCTACGACCTTAGACGTCTTTCATAGAGATACATCCATAGATACATCCATCCATGGAATGAAAGAATCCCTGTGGAAAGATTATTTCCAACATGTAAATAGTTTCCACTATATTTGTCTGCAATTGAAGCAAGTTGTCAACGTGTAACACCTTCGAGCATATTTCATGAAAGAATGTGCACATCACAATGATAGCATCCCATATCGGAGTGCACAACTCAATGATAGCATCCCATATCGAAGCTAGTACCATCCATTTTATAGGAAAAGGGAGTAGTCTTTGCATGGACACGTGACAATCATGACTTTTGAAGCCATAAAAGTTTCCAATCATCAACGGTAACTAATGCACCTATGTTAGAAGCATAGCCGTTTGGAAATTTCATCTTCTTCAACCATTCACACACCTTTCCCACCTGCTCTTTATTCAATATGTAGAAAGCTTTTGGTTTAACGATTTTATTCCGTTCCTCCCTTATATGCAACTCTGGTCTATTGCAGTATTCTTCAATGTCTTTTCTTGCTTTTATGTTGTCCTTTAATTTTTGGGTCTCCATGATGGTGTGAAAGAGATTGCCAAACACGTTTTTTTCAATGTGCATTACATCTAGGTTGTGCCAGATCAACAAAGTGTGCCAATATGGCAGCTCCCAAAAATGCTCTTCTTTACGTAATTGTAGGTTACCTTAAAACCCACATGTTTCCTATATTTCCTTGATCCGTGTGAGACTCCTTCATAGACCATAGGAAGGCTACAAACTTGAGCCCATATTTGCTCCCCAGTTACCAGAGGGGGTGGATTGGCTTTTTCGACATGTCTAATACAAAATTGGTTCCTATCACACCTGAACGAGTGTCTCATTAGCAAAAACTTGCAGTGACAGTCAAACCAACACGACTTCCATCCACTTCGTAACTAGAACGCACATGCATTACCTATGCAATATGGTCAAGCATGCCATGCATGTTCCAACCACACAACATGACATAAGCAGGGAAGTCACTAATCATCCACAACAGTACGACCCTCATTATGAAATTCATCCAACAATAAGCATCATAGGTAACAACATCGTCAAAGAATAACATCTTCAACTCGTTAATCAAGAAAGTTTTGTTCAGGGTTGTTCTTGCCAGGAATCAACAAAGCCAGGAGGACGTTCCAATCTTTGATGCACATCCAAGATGGTAAATTATAGTTTATAAGAAAAACTAGCCATAATGAGTATGAACTTGAGTTCGAGTTATTGGGGTTGAAACCATCTGTACATAAGCCCAAGCAAACACTCCCCATCTCTTGAGGAAAATCGGGATGCGTCCTGTCAAAATGTTTTCGAGCCTCCCCATCACTCGGATGTACTATCTTTCCCTCGGTTTGATGATCATGGTGCCAAGTCATCTCCTTTGCTATTTCTTTACCGA